CGCGTGAGGAGCTTTCACAGGTAAACAGCTGAAGGCTGGAGAAGGGCTTCTGAGACGGAGAGGTTTTCATCATGGAATCTATTCTTCAAGCAAAATCATAAGCAGCACCCCGTATATGCTCCAGACCAAAGGGGGGCTGCTGTGTGTGCTGGGCAGGGTGGGGGGGCCTGGCGGAGCAGCCCCCCGGACCCTCAGCCCCTGGGACACAACCAGGGAGGGTCCCCAGTGGCTCAGTCCAAACCATGGCTCTAGTAGGACCGCATCTCAGTGCCCTTTTCCTCTCTGTCATCCAGCCCCAAGCGTGGCCCCAGCCGGGTCTGCCGGCCCCTCGGCTGGAACACTCTTCCCCTCGGCTGGCTCCTTCCGAGACACGCGGGCCTCGTCTGGAGTGTTACTGCCTCCGGGAGACCTTCCAGCCTCTGCGGGGAGCCCTCTCCCCACGGGTCTCCACCCCCCGCACCGCTCACCACCGCTGGCTGCGGAGTGCTGCCAGCTCACTCCCTCGAGCTGATCCCTTGCAGCAGAACATACACTCCTGAGGGCAGGACCGCCCTGTTCAGTCCCTGCCCGGTCCCCCAGGGCCAGGCCAGGCCCTGGTACACAGCGGTTCCTCAGAAAACACTCGTTAAGTGAGGGAGTTAAGGAAACCATGAACTGAGGGGGTCGATTACAGGCATCAGGTCACAAAAGGGTCAGGACTCCAGCCGGGGGACACTCACTTTTCACTTGATCGGGTTCAGGCCGCCCCTGGACCCTCAGCAGCAAAGGGAAAAGCCCTGCTCACTTCCAGTCTCTGAGGGATGTTTCCGACGTGAGGACCATCCTGAGCTCAAATATCCTGAGCTACGGGCTCAGGGCTCGCATCTGAAAGGGGGTTCAGAAGGAAAGAGGCAGGCCTGAGGAGGAGCCACTGCCAGGCCTTGACAGACGTCTCTGACAGGCGCCTGCATGTCAAGGTTCCCGTCCCCCTTCACTAGAAGGGTTACTCTCTCTCTCCTAATACACTCTTGCTCTGGAATCTTATTCACACCCTCCTCTGGTCATTTATCTATGTGGTTGGTCAGAAGGTTATCCAGTAGTTTCCACAACTTCCTGTCCAGCTCTCTGGACCAAATTAAGTTCTGGACCTGGATCCTTTTTGTAAACGGAGACACTGTCATCTTCTGAGAAAGAGGTGAGCTTTGGTCAAGGACCTCGTGGCATGATCCCCCACTCTCCTCACGTGACAGCTGCCACAGGAAATCCAGCGGAAAGACATACAAAGACCCTAGAATATTATGTACTGAATACATATTCCTTCCTCCTCTGTCTGGGGGACGGTTTCCCCGAGGTGGGTCTACTCACTGCGGCACAGCCGTTTCATCCGGGCATCCGGCAAACGTCTGCAGGTCCCTAACCACACAGCTCGCCCCACGCGCACCGGGCGTGCAAAGGACACCGCACCTCCGGAGGTCAGTGCGGGGGTGGGTCTCCTGCACGAGCCAAGGAACGCTGCTCTGGGCCGCAGTCCAAAAACTAACTCTTAAACCTGTAAATGTGCTGTCTACATTTCCAACATAAACGTCCAAGAAGGACAGCCAGTAAGCAGATGAGTGGTCTATTGTGCTCCAACTGAACACCTTCACATCCCGGTCCACGTAGCGATGGCACAGTATTTAACCCAGGGCAACTCTCTTCGTCATAGAAATCCTGCTGTCCCCTTTGTAATCCTGACCTTGGGGACTGCTTTTATGTTCAGTACTAGATTAACACCTACTGACCAGTCCCCCGTCACCAAAACAAACCAAACCAAAGGAAGAACAAATATTTACTGAGCTTCAGCACTCAATAAAGTGCCAAAGGAACCATGAAACCTGACCTTACACAGTTCGTAATTAAGTGAAAGAGATATACACAATTACCTACACTATAAAGCACCCATTTGGTTGAAACAGTGTTTCAAAACACATGGTACAATCGCCACCAAGTAGCAAAGGTACTACCGATGGCTGATGACTTTTTACCATCATGATAATCTTTAGAATTTTAGGCTGATGACTTTTTACCATCATGATAATCTTTAGAATTTTAGTGTGTATTTACAAAAAATGTAACAAATCCATCAAACCTGCAACTTCAAAATTTTTACTGCTTAGGATGCAGCTAGAGTGAGTGAGTGCTAACACCTAAGGCAGACCTCGCGCACGACACGGGTGCACCCGACCGTGTCCATCACTGCACCTGTCTCAGCTGTGCAGCAGCGCGGCGCGCCGGACAGTGTGGATCGCACGCGTGTGTGTCTGGGCACACTGCTGCGTTCTTCCCACTAAAACACTGAAATCCTGAACAAGGTACAGCTGAAGTTTGGAAAACTCAGATCTAAAAAACTTTAATTTAAGCCTCTACAATCTGTGTTGCAGGTGTTTTCCGAGGTCAAACCCTGTGAGACTGGGATGGCTGGTGAGGGGACAGCTGTGTGTGAAAACAGGGCGCTCTGCTGGGCTCCCCCTACCCTGCCCAACAGACATAGCAGCCCGCCTTTAGCCTCCTTTATGCCAAGGAGCTGGCGGAACGGCCCTCCCTGCTACCAGCTGGGGCGTGGCCTCCCTCCCTCCCCAAGCAGGTGGAGCCCTGCCGGCCAAGGCTGCTCCCTCCCAGGCTCTGGACTTGACTCGCTCCCCATCCTCCCCCGGCTCCCAGAGGTGGGGTGTAGGAAGGGTTGAGGAAATCCCTTTCCTCCTCTTCAGCCCGTCTTGCCACCCCTACCCTGAAGGCCGGGGTCCAGGCCTCTCTCCACGCTGCCTCCTGGACAGGGCTCTTCTCCTGCCGGGGGGGGGCCCCTAAACAGTCAGCCCTCTGCCCCCAGATGTGAAAGGAGACGGGAGATGGCCAGAGATGGTCTCCAGCAGGGGAGCTGGGACTTGTACATACCAGATGCAAATGCAGTGCAGAAGGGGTTAAGGACAGCGAGGGCCGGACAGGACGCACAGGGAGTGGAGGCAAAAGTGACTCATCAACAGGAGGGCTACAGAGAAAGTGCTCGGACGGATTCCAAATGGGAGTTCCAGAAAACGATTTGGTAGCACGCGTCAAGAGACTTGAAAACACCCAGTAACCTCACTTCTAGAATCGGTCTATGAAAATTATCAGACAGGTGCTCAGATACGTGAGGGTGTCCACTGAAATACTTACAACAAAAAATGGCGTGTCCAACAATGAAGGAACAGTGAAATAAATTTCAGTACATTGTGAATGGACATCAGGGAATTTTTTTTCAATATTTGGGAAGAATATTTAAAGGAATATCAAAATGCTAGCTATATCTTAAGTCAAAAAAGTGGTTTGTACAGAATGTTTATACAGAAGTGTGTAAACATGTATCCCAATTTCCTTTAAACATCATATAAATATGTACACAAAAACTACTCACAAGAAATACACCCAGGTGATATCTAGGTTATAAATATTTTCTTCTCTTACTTTTATTTTTACTTTTTATTTCCTTTACACATTTCCACCAACCCATATATTATATTTAGAATAGGAAAAAAAACCCTGTAGTTTAAAAGAGAAAATCAGAGAAGCAGATGAGCCTATATGCAAATAAACAGACCGTGAATATGGGCCCAGCAGACAGACACACACACACACACACACACACACACACACACACACACACACACATTTACTGCCTGCCTCTGACGACCGTGGGAACAACAGCTGACCAGTCCTCTGTGGAAGCAGGCTTCTCCTGTTAAGCGGCTGTCCCACTTCCAAGAAAACGTCTTACAGAGTATCTCAACTCTCGCTTTCGTATCTGCCTACGCTCCAAGAACAGACTTAGAAGCGTGGAATCCAGGGACAAACCTGCAGACCACCGAGTTTCTACACAGAGGGACAGTGTCAGACACAAGCTGGGGGGTTGCACCCCTGATTTAGAGCCTCCTGCTGACAACTTCAGCTACATGTCCTACAACCACCCGACGAACGATATAAAAATCATGTGCATCAAGTGGAGAAATACAGAGGTGACAGCTAACTGGACAGACAAGACAGATGACAGGAAGACCTGGCATGACTTCCTGGAGGAGGCGGTCGCTGGGGGAACTCTGAAGCATGAGCAGGACTCTGACTGGTGGAGGACACTCTAGTGGTGAGGACAGTGTGAACAGAGGCTGGAAGCAGGAAACCGTAGGGCGTATCTGGGCAAAGATGAGCAGCCCAGTTTGTACAGCCCAGCAGGAGCGCGCAGGGGGCGCGGGGAGAGAGACGGCTACAAAGGAAGGTTGGAACCAGGTCGTGATGCTCCTTGAAGGCCACGTGACTCTCCTCTGGGACGACCTGGCCAGTGACTGGAGGACGGTCTTTGCTCCACAGAAGCACCCAGGCTTCCAGATGGAGGTCCTGAAAAGGGGGTGGGCAAGGAATAAAAAGTGTGGCTGTGCCTCCCAAGACCGAACCCCCCTTTGAGCTGGGCTTTAAATGGGACCCGGTGGGGCCGCTAGTCTAGTAGACCAAAGGCCTTGTTTCATAGAGAAAACTGAGATCCAGAGACAGGTGACGTTTAACTGGGCCTTAGAATCCTCACACACGACCTGCCCAAATCAGCCACCACGCCGGGCAGAGCAGCCGAGAGACAGCGGACAAGCTCCTCAGTACATGCTGTATCCGCTAACCCACATGCTCAGCGTGTGCAGAGCGAGAGGGCCTTCCGACCACGGGAAGCCATGGTCCTCCCAGCCACCAGTGGCCATGACTCGGCCTCTCGCGGAGGGGAACTGAGGCTCAGGGAGGCCAAGCATGGTACCCAGGGCCGGGGCGGCGGCCTACAGCCTGCCGTCACCTGGGAGCTTGTCAGAAATGCAAATTCTCAGGCCCCACCTCAGAGCTACAGATCAGAGACTGTGGGGACGGGGCCCAGCAATCTGTATCTTGACATGTGTCTTGGTAATTCTGATGCAGAGAAAGTTTCAGAACCACTGCTTAGAGACACAGTTGATTGATGTGTGTTGGGGGCGGGGGGGGAGGGTGTGAGGCTCCAAGACTGGTCTCCCCTCTCGCAAGTAACCCTGGAAAAGCCAAGCGGTAGCCCTTGCCCCAGAGCTGGAGGAAGGGGCCAGGCAGGGATGGTGGCCAGGCCGGTGGGCCTGGGCTGGGGCAGATGCCGGGGAGGAGCTGCCTGTGACCTTCCGAGAGCACAAAGGATCTAAGCCGCACGAATCCAAAGTTCTTGTTTGGATACGGGCACCTCTGTGCTGTCACTGCTGCTGCCTGCCGCATACTTGTGGGGATTTACACCCACTCTGACGAGAGGTGTTTTGGGGTTACTGCCTCCTGGGAAAGAGGAGTGTGAGACAGGCCCACCCCACTGGGGGAGATTAAGTGTGATGAGGGCACCGGTGAGGATGGATGTCTCTCTCTTGTCACCGGCCCCGCCTCCCCTGGGAGGGGGGCAACCACGGGCGAGAGTGGGACCTGCCCACAGGCACCCCACACAGCTGCCCACAGTGGGGCTGCCCGCTCCTTCTCTTGGAGGGGGAAGAGCTCAGGGTCTTGGGGACAGGAGGAGGGAGGGCAGGGGTCAGTGCTGAAACACCAGTGGCGGCCGGGGATGGGGGGTCCTGCAACCTGGAGCATCTCTGCAAAGAGCTGCGGGGTCCTGGGCAGGGAGCCCCGGGCTGGGAGCTGGCCTGGCCCTGCAGGAGAATGGAAAACTCCTGGGCCTCTCCGAAGTGAACCTGTTTCCACAGCCTCCATCCAGGAACCAGGGATGTTCACCCCCGTGTAAGGGTCAGGCTCTGGTCTTTGTTTTGTGTGCCTGCCCTGTGCACAGGCCCGGAGTCCAGGGACCTGGCCACTGCCCGGATACACATGTTCAATCCGTTTGCAGCTGGGCGGGTCTCATTCAGGCCACCGGGACCTCTCCACTTCAGCAGCCGTTTCCTAGAAAAGCGGTCCCCAGCGTTGATTCCAGCCGAGCTCAGCCCCCCGGAGGGCAGGGCGGGTGGGGCTGGCAGAGCTGGACCTTGTGCCACGCCCTGTCTGTCTCTGCCGCCCTGGTTTTCCCAGCAATCTACGTGATCTCACGCTCATCCACACCCCTCGTTGTCAACAGCCTTCAAGCGGGTGAGGGGTGGGAGTAGGGAGCAGAACTCTTCCAAAACCCGTGACTGCTCTGGTTGCCACAGCAGAGGTTCTGTGAACCGGATTCAGGGCAGCTCCAGGCAATCGCTGGACGGCCAAGGCCTTCAGGGCCCCACGGGGCCTCCAGGCTGCAGGCTCCGTGCTCTCAGGCCCTCAAGGAGCCCCTGTAAAGGCTAAGATTTCCCTCCCGTTTCCTGGTGGTCGTGGGCGTAGCCTGAAGAGGAGGCAGGGTGGGACGGACGGAGCCAAGGGAAGACGAGCTTTCTGCTCAGCGTTGTCCCCGGACCCCAACAGTTCAGGAGCGCCTGTGCTGTCCCCACATGCATTTCATAGTAACAATGGTCAAAGGGGCCTGTCAGTGTAAGAGACGGGGGACAGAGAGGCAGAGAGACAGAGGAAAGCCCATTTCCATTCCCCAGGGGATCTGCAGTGTTTTCCCTCCGCCCTTGCCATCCTGATGTGACCTACTTATCTACTCCCTTTAAAGGGAGGGACCCTGGCAGGCATCCCAGCCCAGGGCAGTTCTGAGTCTCAGAGGCAAGCTCTTTAGCAAGAGAAATCCAGAAGCTGTAAAGTTGGGGACCCAGGCCATAGGGAGGTCGGGCGAGGCTGGGGAAGAAGGGAGGAGGAGGTGGTGGCGCCACGGGACAGAGCTCAGCGGTGTCAGGACTCGGTGGGGAAGAGGTTCTGGGCCCCCGAGCAGTGGTGGGAGCAGCAGACACCGGCAGCTGGAGACAGGGCGCCAGCCCGAGCAGAAGCAAACACCCCAGCTCCTGCAGGTTCCCTCCCCACTTTCTGCCCCGCGGTCCCTGAGCTGAGGTAGCTCATCTCAGAGCCCCCGTTTCCTGACCTGCAAAGAGGGGATAATCATTTCTACCTCAGAAGACTGATGGAAAAATTAAATAACTGACCCCACTTTCTGCTCCCTCCTGAAGAAACCCTGAGGTCTCCGGGCAACGGCACACGACACGCTTAGGGAAAGAGCAACCACCTCTACCTATCTCGCAGGAGGGACTGGGGGTGTGGTTCAACCCACTTAATTCTGCGAGGAGTCCCAAAGGCCCAGCGAGGAATCTGCGGCGCAGAGAAGTCAACGCAGAGTCACGTGGCACGTAGCAGGGCCAAGGTTCACAACCACGGCTGTCTGCTCCAGGCGCGTGCCCCTCAGCACCTCCGGGACTGTAACGTCACTGGCCTTAGTGAGGAAAACTTGGCAAAACCCTTGTCCCCAGATCTTCAGTCAGTTTAGAATGCTGAGCCAGAGCGAGGTCGGAGGAATTGAAGTGCAACTGGGTTGTCTACGGCTGTCCTTTTCAGCTCCTCCTGGCACTGGGGAGAGGCTGTCTTGCAGCCTGAAGGCTGTAAATGCCTATCTGGTCTCGGGCCGCTCGGCGTCCAGTCTGGCCTCCCTCCAACCCATTCTCCTCACAGGAGTCACAGAGAACACGTTCCTGCTTTTATCAGTTGTTCGCAGCCGCCCTCGGGATTATATCCAAACCCAGTGTGGCCAGGGCCTTTCCAACCCTTAGCAGGCCCCAGGCTTGGGAGGTCCTACCCCATTTTTTTTCCCCCAAATGTACTAAGATACACCCAGATCATTCACTGCATATGAACTTTTCATGTAAAAAACGTGAAAGGATTTTTAACAATTTGAACATGGAGGTGATTCATTTAAATATTCAATTTTCATACGTAGGGGCCAATATTTTTTTTTCAAGCCTCAAATATTTGGGGCCTTTGGAAAGCTCTTATGCACCAGGCACATGGTGCTTATGGATGAGACGGCCCACCGTGTAGGCGGTCCTCTGTGCAGACAGCCCCAGTCCACGTCCCCTGCCTGCTGGGCTGTTGGAACTACTGTCTCCTCCTTCTAGAATTTTGTTTCTCCTTCTGCAGCTCTAAGTGCTCACACCACTCTCCCCTCCCTCGCATCAGTGCCCTGCAGTTTATTCATCTTGACCTAAGTTCACAGACGCTTAACCTCTTCGTTTCTTTGTATGTAAAGTAGGAATAATAGTGATATCTACTTCAGAGGGTTTTTAAGAAGATAAGCTAATACACAGTGTATGATTCATGAACCATCACCTGCAAGCTTGTTAGAAAATGTAGAATCTCAGGCTCCACCCCAGATGTGTTGAGTCAGAATTAACAAGTTCCCATGTGATCCAAACGCACATTTACATTTCAGGGGCGCTGTGCTAAAGCTCTTACGGCCATGCTGTTACCTAAAACACGTGCAATAAATGACAGACATTTTGGTTACTGTCATAATCATCATTAAGTCTTATTATTAAAGATCAAAGTTTTATAGTTGTCTCGTTTCTCCTCTTGACTTACTTAAAAAATTTTTTTTAGTTTCTTTTTTTGTGGGGGAGGGAGGTAATCAGGTTTATTTACTTATTTATATATTTTTTAGAGGAGGTAATTGGGGAATCCAGGACCTCGTGAATATACTCTCCCCACCCCCTCTTGACTTACTTTTAACTTCCAAACTCTAGTTCAGTGGTTTTCCATTGGAGTTCCTAGGGAATGCTGGCATCCAGGGAGCTGGACCACAGCATTCCAGCTCAATGCCCAGGCTACTGTCAAGACGCCTTTTCTGCACTCAGGTAGCTTCCCTCTATCTGCAAAGGGAGAGAAGGAAAGGGGCGATTGCAGTAGGTGGTGTGATAAGGTCTACCAATAAAAGGATGTAGAGGTGCTAAGGAGGCAGCTGACCCAGGCTTCTGGGGTCAAGGAAAGTGCTAGCTAATTTACGAGTTGAAAGATGAGCTGGTCACTCAAAGTTCCCCCTCAAAAGTGGCAACGTGGTTCCAATTTTAAACAGTGAACTGACTGCTCCTGCAGTGTGAGAGGACCTGGCTGGGCCCTCAACTCTGCTCTAGGGAGCAATGATGTCCCAAGTAGACTTAAATCTATGGTCCTTGCTGTCTGCTCCCCACGGCAAACAAGGGGGCCATGGGGGTTTGAGTCTGAACCCTACTTGGTGTCCTGGTGTGAACCCCGTCACTTAGAGAAAGCTTAAAACTGTTACTCTGGGCACCTTGGTTCCTCGTTTGCAGGCCGTGAACATACGTCCCTACAGCGTTCTTGTGAGGATCAAGTCAGAGGCCGGAGGTCAAGTCCCAGGCACACAGCAGCGCAGACCAAGGGGTCCCCAGTTCTGGGCCGTGCAGCCGCACCTGGGCCCGCGGGCTGGACCTCTGAAGCGGCACACATTTCTTCCAGCACGTACTCGCGAAGCCCGCCCCCAGCGCGGGCTGCGGGGCTGGGGGGCGTGCGACGCGCAGCAACTGCCCGTCGGAGGGCAGACAGGGTGGTCGCTGGGGTCGGCCGGGGTCGCTGGTTCTGGAGGGAGGAGAAGGCGCGCTGCTTCCCGGGCCGGGGCAGCCTCTGGGGGACGCTCTGAAGGCTCCAGAACAGACTCGGCCCAAGGCGGCCGCTGGAAGAGGCTCCCGTGGAGACGAGAACGTTCTTCACGCCGAAGTGTCGGCGAAAGCCGGCCTTTCCCTCCCCACGCGCCGTGAGAGGCCGGCGGGCGCCGGCCCAACACA